CACCAGACAGACCCAGAGATAGGGCACCAGACAGACCCAGAGATAGGGCACCAGACAGACCCAGAGATAGGATTCCAGACAGACCCAGAGATAGGACACCAGACAGACCCAGAGATAGGACACCAGACAGACCCAGAGCCAAGTTGGACACCAAGGAACAGAAGCAGACAAAAGCAGAAAAATTAGTCAACAGTAAATTAAATAACAGGAAGGCAGGAATAAGCCATGTGGCTCGAAATTCTGAGGAACGTGGTCCATGTATACACGTAGAATCACGACAAGTAGCATATTTTCTCATTCTGTCTTTTTGTCGCTTTCTTCCTTGTTGTTTCGAGCACGGTCCACATATACAATTAATGGGATCACAATGTGAGGGAAATGCAAAACTAGAAGCGTATTTTCTCTTTCATTTTGTCTTGATTTCTCTTTCTTGCCTGTTGTGTGAAGTATGATCCATGTATTGATTGCAAAAAAATGCGTGAAAAGGTATGTACAAGAGTTACATGATTTATAACAACTGGGTGAGATTGGCTTGTCTGTCTTTATGGCTCCAGAATTCCGTTAAGAACCTGACCCTAATCTCCCAAACACATTAAGAAATGTTCTGCAACTGCTCCAACTGCAACTGAGTAAACTAATAGGGAAAAATAAGATTTGCCTGGAAGAAACTGGGGTCAAATGACTCATTTGTAGCCCTTCCTTAGTTTTTATGTTCTAAATTAAAGAAATAACTTCTTTATTTATGAGGACAAAAGAGGTATTATTTGCTAAGTTAATTCAATAACAGTTAGGCCTATCCATAAATCAAGTCGTAATGTTCAGTGGGAATACCACTGGTTTACAGTGGGAGACACACTATTGACAAGTTACAGCTATAGAAATGAAAATTCCAGAATATGCTGAGAATATTAAAACAAATGTACAATATTCTCAATTATTCTGTTCCTTATTTATGTTTGACCTTTGCAAGTATACTACAATGAAAGATGAAAAAAAACATGGTACGATTATCAAATTTGAGAACATCAAATTCAACATATTTTAAAACACTATGAAAGCGTAATTCTTGACGTTTTATTGTCATCATGAATTTATTCACAGTCATGAAGGACATAAGGCTGTTGCCCAAGACACACTTTTATCAAATATTTTTACAAAAGCTTTTCAAAATTAGGTCTCTTAGTCTTTTGGAGTGTTAAACCCCAACCAATTATTGTGCCTGCCTTTGTTTATCCTTGATGCACTTTTTACATGTTCAGTATGATGGTAAAGGTTGTCCTACCTTGCACCTTAACCTGGTTTGTGTATAATTGGGGACCATTAGGACCTTCTGCGTAATTTGTCTCACTTGACAGTCAATCACAACATGATCCAGTGCCAGTGGCTTTGTTCCAATTCCTTTGAGTCCAAATATGTGCTCTGTGCCATCTGTTTCATTCTGCAGAACAAGTCTACCCTGTGAAACAAAAAGAAAAAAGAAAAAGTTTCAGGGAGAAAGTCAGTGGCAAGTGTTCTGATAACGTGGTGGTGGTAATGAAAAACAAAAACAGGCCAGTCTCCGGGGCTTAAAAAAAAACGAGGCTTTATTTACAGTGCAAAATAATAAAAAAACAAACTGAATATGTACATTGTACACAGTGAGGAGAAGGAAAGCGTGTCGAAAGGAAAACAAGTAGATAGAAACAAAACACAATTCACTCTTTTCTCAGATCCAAAAACTAACTAGATGCGTATGCCAATAATTAAACAAAGTACTTTGTAGCTCACTCAAAACGACTCTCCATGTTCTCTCAACTCTTACCCTCAAACAAACAGCTTCACTGCACACAACCACCTAAGCTTTTAAAAACTGAACCCGTTCAATTAAATACAGACCAATATCAGGAAGGTCAACACGATACATAGATCTTACTGTATGTGGTAGAGATTCTGTAATATGGAAGCAGAAGTAAAGCAGACAACACGGAGAGAGTACACAACACTAACAAAGAAATGACACACACAGTGTTGAATAAGAGCTATAGAAACCATTCTGTCTGTGCATGTCGGTCACTGAAGTTACTTTTGTTTTACCACTGAGATTGGCTTGGGATTCTGGAATCAAGAGGGTAAAGTATAAAGAATACTTCTGTATCCGTGTGTTCAGTACAGTATGTACACTTGTGTGACTTTATTGTCACAGATAAAAAATAGTGCTCAACAGAGAGAAATGGGCTTTCTATACAAAAACATAGATTTTAAAAATATAATCTAGGAATTAAATATAAGAGATAAATGTACAAAGTTTTGAAGTCTGATGTAACTGGCTTTATGACGAACCCATGGTGCCATTTCTTTGGACTTTCAAAAGAATTAAAATCCTAAAGGAAACAGTTTTCTGGCACATTCAGTGCTAATTCAAGTTCTGCATCATCTGTACTAGGAGGTGTGTCTCAGACAATGCTTTAAATCCAGGGTGTGAACACATGTGCTACGTAGGTCTTTGATTTAGATCAAATAGCTTGATAGCCCTTAATTGCTGGAGTACAATGTGAAGTTTGGGGGAGGGGTGTATAATACAATTGTGAATAATCAGGCTACTATGATGGCACAATTCCTCAAGGTTCTTAAGGGGACACTTTTTTGGTGAATTACAATTGACATTTGGGCTAAATGGCTTGATGACTCTGAAGTGTCTGATAATGTTTCAAATTTACATCGTTACCGTAAAAAAAAAAAAAAAACTTACTGATTTCACTTAGATTTTCATACAGTACATCTTCCCAAAAAGTCCCCTACATTATCACTAATGTTTTTTTCTTGTTTTATTTTTAGAACCTCCAAAAAGAAATGTGGTGAAAAATTCCTCCACCTTTTGTGTTTGGCCCTATGTTATAAAGTACAGCATAGGGAGAATCTTACCAAGGTAGTACATTGGGAAATGGGTCTGAACATCAAGGGATACCCCATTCTTTCTCCAGCCCGCACATAAATCACTGATGGGCCGTGAAAGTCTTTTCCTTCAATAACACCATGGAGTTTCCAGTCCTGAAGTGTCTGGTTAATCTAGAGAAAAATATAAGTCCAAAGGTTTGTATTCACTACATTTTTCCATCTGTTGTTAAGGATTCTTATATACATTTTAACACCTTAGCATCACTAAGTAATTGATTTGTCTTTATTACAAATAAAAATGTTTGCATTATGTAAGGTCAGCAGACAGTGAACGTTTATTGAATTAGAGTTGACACCTCAAAAACAAAGCTTGTAGAACGTGAGTGTTATATATGTATTTTTCAAATATTTTAGACATCTGTAAAATCCCCATTTTAAGTTGTGATGTTACTGCAATTTGTGAACAAACAAAATCTATCATGAGTAAAACACACGGGATATTGGTTTTCCAAAAAAGCTTCACATTAGTTTTTAGTAATGCTAGCAGAGAAAACAATCTATACAAATATGCAAAACAAATGACTCATTGACAATAACAGACAATATGAAAAATAAAAAATGATTCCCCTATAAATAAACACTTTAGTAATACAGATTCTTAAAATATTTAATGTATTGATAATGATTGTTGTTACTTTTCTTACTTTATTAATAAGTTATTACAGTAAATATCTCAATTAGAACTCTAAGTGTAGATATCCAGGGAATATAGAGTGCTTCATGAGTTTAAGTCACCAATATATAAGATTGACTTTATGATTCTGTCAAAGGAGCCATCAACTGGATTTAACAGAAATAGGAGATCAAAGTTCACTGAGTCCTGCCCTAGGAAGTCAAAATTCAAGAGCCAACTATATTCTTTTCTGGAGGGTTGTAGCCCTCACATCTGTTTCTGACATGACTGAATAATCGCTCAAAGCTGTGGCAGGCTTCATACAGTATGAACTGAGTGACATTACATACAGCCCTACAGGAAATTCCCATAGGCAAAATTCACTGAAAATCTTACAGTCCAGCAATTACATTGTTTAGTGTCCTTTTTGAATATTTTGTATTAGTGGTTTTGTACAATTTATATTTATAGGTGATACAAAAAGCAAACAAAAATATTCTTCAGCATAAATCAAGTCATTCAATAAAGAGGATGTTCTACAATATCTTTTGCTAATACTGCACATTATTGTTATGATTTCTGTTTTGGAATCTGTACCCTCTGAAGCATTTTCAGTTGAATTTCTGAAAAATAAATATTGATGACAAAGCAATACTAATGTGTTTTTTTCTGGCAGAAACAACAGCAGTTAACCTTCATATTTAAAGTGTTTGGTAACATGCTGTAGATTTGTGTTAAAGTACATATTTGTTCTTTGTTGTAGGAAATATTTCAGTAAGACCAACTTTCCACAAACGCCTTTCTGTCTATAGTTGACATTACAAGAACAAATGTTATAAAGACATTAAAAGCAAATTGTGAAGAATAATGAAAAATACACTTATTTATAAGACACTTGTTTTCAGGAAGGAAGTGTTAACATAAAAAGTGTCCTATACACTCCCAGGAGGGTTTGCTAATCCATTATGCAGTAGTAAAACAGTGAGACAGCACTGAAATAAGAGGGAAATACAGAAACTGAGCTTCTAAATACAACGTAGATAAAATGTTATCAATAAAATGGAATCATTTCCTTAGATATGTGTGGCATATGGTAGAAGCCCAAATCCGATGCCCTAATTTGAACCGTATCCTCAGCTCTCCTGTGATCCTCCAGCCCACAACAAGCCTCAGATCCACTGAGGAAAAAGATTAGTCTGGTGAATTGCTGGGTTTGAAACTCCTTCCAAGCTCCAGGGGGTTAAGTCACTGCAACAGGCTCATATGTCAAGTAATCCCTGTTACATTAAACTACAGTAACTCCTGCCAGGGGTACTGTTTTCAAATCACATCCCGCCTGGATTAGACGCAGTGCATGAGTTGCTCTAAATTGGGACCAGAATTGATAACACGGTGAGAAGAAGAACTGTTTAGCCTTAGTTGACAGAGATTACAAGTCCAACAAAATACACCTCCTTTTTGTTGAACACATGGACTGTCATTATTCACACTAGGGACATGCTCTTGATATCAAGTACCATGTGCAGAATGAACAGGGAGGCTCAAGGACTTGACTCTTCTTGTTTTGATCAGCAATATACATTTTTATGGTGGCAGGTGGAAATACAATATGATTTTAAGCACCGATTATTCATCTGTTCCACTCAGAGAATGGCAAATTCCTTATAGATTTTAACTCAATATAAAATTTTGGAATAGCCATGAAACATTGCATTACTACTCAGACTTGAAGATTACTGTATCTATTTATTCAAAAGACTGTATCACATTGAAAACACCTCTATCACAAATTACACTGCTATTTCCAACTGGCATATGAGAAAATAAAAGCACACATTAATGTTAATTTAAAAAGGTTTTTAAAACAAATTCTTCACATTATACAAGCAGACACCAGAAATCCAGTAACTGGCTGTTTATTTACCATTGTATTGATTTCATCCTTCCTTGCCCACATAGCAATAATTTATTGAAAATGTAACTGAGCTTAAGAAAACCATAAAATTGAACCTTAAAAGGGCTTGCAGCATATCAATTCACTGCAATTTGATTTGTTAATCAAGACTCCTCCTCGCACAATCCAGGCACTGCCTCATCATGTAAATTGTTCATCTTCTTACAGAAAGACACAGGATTCAAAAAGCAAACAGCAAATGGATTTCACAGGAGATATTAGAAGGGTAGAAATGCCAGTTAAAATGTTGTTATTCATAAGAAAATAAGAATGTTTACAAACAGGAGGAATCCATTTACTGTAGCTCTCTCGTACATATTGTTGCTAACAGTTTACATTTAAGGATCTGATCAGGTTGCTTCATGGGGACAAATAAATCTCAGATTTTTTCATATTTCCAAAGCAATCAAAACACAGCCAAAATACTGTACATAAAAAGGCTACGCTCATGCAGTGTGACTGGACAACACTCCCCATGTGAAACTATCTCAGTCTATTTTCACTGAAAAAGACTTACCAGTGGGATATCCTGAGTGACGGACTGGAGGGCAGGAGTTACCATCTCCAGCTCTCCATCCGTGCCCACGCCATGGACCATGCATTCCACAAGATGCACACGGACATCGCGCAAAGACCGGAGGACAATCTGACACAGGTACCTCCCCGGTACCTTTGCTTGAAATTTCAGGGGGAGGGAAACTACATCGCAGTCTAAAAAAAAAAAAAAAAGAAAACAACACGATGTATCATTTTGAACTTCTCCACAGGGCTTCACTGGCTCACCCATTTACCTGTTTGAAGAAACGTGGGTTGCCGAGCGCCATACCGGTGCTACCACTTCTTTCTGAAAGATTTTTAGTCTCTACACCTGTGCATTTGTGTTAAACAGGAAATTTAACAGTTTCTTTAAAAACATATAAAAATAACACTCTGCACTGGCTTGTGGGAACGTCCCACGCCTAGAGGACAGAATCAAGAAGATTTAGCACCCTGGGCAGGTGAATGTGACCAACTAAGCACACGATTTGATCAATTAAGTAATTAAGTAAGTGAGAAATGAAAACGAGCCAGCTCTGCAGTCCTTGAGAACTAGAGTCACCTATCCTTGTATTAGATACAGTAACAGTAAATGAACAGAGCAGATATACATTCAGTCCTCTCACCAAAAGTAGCAAGACATACAAGACTAGTATTTTTTAGCAAAGTTAACGTTATTCAATGCTTTAAGCATTCCATTGATTTAAGATTTCTTTTACCATCATATGACACTTTTTACAGAATAGGAAACATGTACAGTATGTATTTGTGTTTGTGTGGAATGCAGGTTCTACTGTAACTCCTGCTGTGACAATTAATTCTACAAGCAAGAACATCAGAGATGCACATGAACAATGCTTGAAAAATGGACGCTTGGAGTCTACCGGCATTGTGGGTTATAGTTTATTTTAAATAAATCTGAAAATACACATGATAAATAACAGCATCTTAATAAAAGAACGCTTGACCGGAACAGTTTTGTCGGAAAATAAATAATGGGTTTTCATTAAAAAATGCTGTTTACCAATAGAGCCTGTTAGTGAATTTTAGGCATGGACAAGATTGCATCTGAAAATTAATGTGACCAATATTTAAATACAGTATAGTAGAAAGCAGCATTATCACTTGACATTTAATTCTTATTATTAAATGCACCTTTGTGCATTTAGCCTTTAAGACAGATTTCTAATTTAATTATATACTGTAACAACAGCACGGGAAACTAATCTCGGAACAGTACACTTCTCACAAAATATTTTTTTTAATTTCCTACAGCCTTGGACAATATTCTTAGACACCTTTGTTTGCAATGCAGAAATTGTAAAATTCACAGTGATATTACCATTGTTAGAGCAATTTGCTATCAGTCCAGGAAAAAAAAAAAACAAGTTCGTTACCAAAGGCATGCATATATACTATGTTTCCATTATAACTTTCATTGTGAGAAAAAAGCCTAAAAAATTAATACCCTAAAACATTTTGAGGTTTTCTAGTAAATTAGCTTTACTTTAATTTGAGTATATATTGCTTTGTGTAATGTTGTCAGTTATCAACCATTCTTTTAATTTATGATTATTTCCCATGTATATTTAAAATTCATATTCATATTCATAAACAAGCTCTACTTAAGCAAGACTTTAAGGAAATAAGGTGAATGTGAACAGGCAGCAATGCAGAGTTTCAGTCCATTTCTGCAGTCAATTATCTTGCCTAGCATTTTCCCCAACACAACTGCTTTTAATTCCTTATGTGAAATAGCATAAAATGTGTTTATCTAAGCAGAACCAAGAACAAAGAATCAGATCTTATTCTTATACGGTAATTAGGAAACAACTAAACAAATAAATAAAAAGAACTTAAGAATGGATATAACCAAGATGAGGCCATTCTACCCTCAGCTGGGATATCTAGCTCATTTGGTTTTTCAGTAAGTGACTCAATGATCTTATCCAGCTGCTTTTTGAAAGAATCGAGGGTATCAGCTTCAACAACAGGGTTGGTCAGCTTGTTCCCTACCTTCTTATTTTTAAAGAACCACCCCTTGTTTTCAGGTTGGAATGTATTTCCTCAGAGTTTCCACCTGTGTCTTCTGGTTCATGAGTCACTGTTGACTCTGAAGTAGTCCTTTGAATATTCGAATCAGGTTATTAATTGAAACAGGGGAAGAAATGCTGAGGAAAGTTTCTCCTCATTACATTTTAAAACCGAATATATGATGTTTTCTCATTAAGATGTCGCACTACTATATATGGCTTTTCTTGACGTTGCAGGTCATTTTTGTGTTCCACCCTGCATCTCAATACAATGCGAACCATCCCAGAGGAACTGAGAAAGAAAGCAAGCATTGACTGGAGCCTTTTGACATTAATACACAAATAAACATAAGTTATAATAATAAATGCCCAGCAATCTACATTTTGGGAAGCCGGAAAGAGACTAGGAGATCGCTTCAGAGAACATGTTAGAGCTGTGAAGATGAAAGATTTCTCCAAGCCCATAGTTTCTCATTTCACCTCAGACAGTCATGATCACACTGATCTCTCTGTCTCTGTTCTCAAAGAGGGTTTCTCAATGCCCATAGAAAGACAACAGAAACTAACCTCATCCTGGAACTAGGTTCACACCTTTCCCCTTTCTCTCAGTGACCGACTTGTTTTCATGTAATCTTCTCTGTTCTCACAACGGTTTTGACTTCACACCTTTCTTCACCCCTCTCCACTTTGCACTTCCTGAGTGGCCTCTCTGCCTCTCCCCTCTCCCAGCTTGTGTTCTTTGGTGCTATTTAATCTTTGCTGTCTGCCCTGTCTTTCTCACACTTGAAGAAGGCTACACAGCCGAAACATCGTTTCCTTTCTTTCCTTTTCAGCATGGAATAAACCCGTTATCTGTTCATTAATAAACAAAGTCTATTAAGCGCCTCGGATACTACTTCTCTTGACCTACATTTGAAACTCACCTGTAAAGGGAATTTAATTAGCAGACTATGCTATATTTTTATTTTTATTTTTTTTCAAGTTAAACAATTTTGTGAAGTTTACAGTATAAGCCACTTGTATTTAACCTCTCACTGCTTCATACTACAGATATGTTGTGTCATGCAGATATTTGTGTAATATTTTGTTGAATAATTCTGTATTAAAATAAGGGAATTTAAATAATAGCAGGATGCTTTTTTTTCTCAGAGGTTTGTAAGTGCAGTTTCTTGAAGAATCATTAAATCATTTTCTGATAGCACAGACTGCATTCTAATTTTCTACATTGCATTCTATGTTATCTGTATCAATGGATTCCAATCATGGTCCTGTCTTATAATTTTTGTTCCAGTTGAGTTCTTAATCACAGGCTAGTTTATTTCAGTTTTCTATTAAAGGCATGTGTTTAAATTTGCTCGCAGCTCTAACAGTTGAATGGGATTTATAATTGGTTTCAGCCTTGCCTTGAACTTTCCTTTATTCAAGCGTGTTAGCTGAAATGTACCCGAAGGGGCCCCAGGAGAAAGTTCTTTGTGGGAGTGCTTGATACAATGTAATTCCCACCTGTGTTTCCTCATCAAAACTGATTACCCATTAAGAGCTGCTTAACCAGAAATAACAGTGCAAGCTCTTCATAAGCAAGTTGAGGAGAAATTGCATGACATTTTTGGAACAATGCAATTGAAATAAAAATATTTTTTTAAACCAAGACTTTTGAAAGCGTTAATGAAAGTTGAAACAAGCAGGGTCAACAAAAGGAATCAATTAGTAGCAATGATTACCAGCTCAGCTGGAATGGACATCGACAGACCCAGAGGTCTCTCAGGACCAAGGTGTAAAACAGTGATCTACAGTATATTAATAAGTCTGAAATCGTATCCCATAAAAATGCATTTTTATAATGTCCTGCAAAATATTTCATAGCATTTGCTTTGTCAATACATTGAGTGTTTTTAAAAGATTTGTTTTACAGCAGTTGAAAATCTTCAACAGTATGTTTAAATGCAAGAGACTGCTGTGGATGTGGACAGAATCAGTTTATTGATTTCTAGAATCAAGAATTTAATCAATGGTTGACTTTTTATGTTAGTTTTTCAGCATACATTTTGTTGTATTGGTAAGACTAACCCTAGATATCATCTGTATAAGGCATTAAACAGTATCATATGAGATTTGAAACAAGATTGTTGCATTTTTTATGCCACTCAGTGAGTAACAGTAACTTCTCCAAATGAAATAATCAACATGGAATATAAGATGTTAGTCAGCAGAACTTGTCTGACTGAATATATTCAACAGAGAATACAAGATATTCCATCACCCTTCGAATTTACTAAATTAAAATCTAAAATTTGTAATTTACATGTATTTGTAATACGGTATAACACAAAAAATAACATTGGCCAACAATTACGTTGCTAATCTATATGGGAATATGGTGCTTTGAAGCTTAAAAGCACCTGGTTTGAAGCATGAGGACAGAATTTATAACTAGGAAAAGCATATCCAGCAGCACAGAAGGTGATGCTTGACAAAGGTTTGTTGCAGAAAAATATCTCAGCAGTCCACAGTCTGTAACACTATCATAGTCTCTTACAGAATATCACTCTCAACAACTGAAGGGTCAAAGGAGAAAGCAATTTCAAAGCCTCAGTAACACAGAGGATCCAAATTAGGCTGACTCTTGAATATTCAGGCCAGCTTATTGAACTGGTAGATTCCAATTCCCTTTCCCCCAAGAATGTAATTAAAAAGGCTTTATGTCTTCCTTAAACATTTGTATCTTGTCACAGGCTTATTCAATTGCTCTGCAGTCCAAATTCTGCTTTATTTTTAGAATAAAAACTATTTCTTCTACAGATGACTGTAAAAGGTTTTAAAACTGTTTGCCAAAATAAATATTTGCCCTACAAATACAAATCCATTTAGCAAAAAAAACCTGACACCTTACTAGACATTAAAAATGCATGCAGTATAAAACAACCTCCATTTTAGGTCAAAGTCATTCCTTCAAAGAGGACATGAAAAAACCACAAACCACATGTAAAATTTCCATTACAAAAAGATATTTCCATGAATGTGAAACTCAGACTGAAGCAGTTGGGAGTCTCTACTGACTGTAGATGGAACTAAAAGATAACCCAAACTTTATAATTTGTTAGCACTACTTGGTTTATATATATCCATATGCATTCAGTTCTA